TCGAAATGTATGTCCAATCTGGTTCGCTTACTATTGGGCTATTCTTTTCCTCGGAAAAGCCACACATTCCATAGCGAACGTTGTGTCTTGCGTTTGCAGAGTGCCCAACTCTCGTCGCTCTACTGCCGCGGTGCCATTCATAGAAGAATGTCAAGGTGGTGGGAGCAGAGGCATTGTGATTAAAGCTATGGAAAAGTTGCCGGTTTTACATTCTTCTTGCGGAAAGTCCTCTAGAATAATGTGCAACTATAACATGATACATCATGGCTATCGATCATGAATCAAGAGTTCTGTACATAAATAATGGCGGAACTCCCTCATCAACTCACAACTGGAAGGATTGATGCATGCGGTGTCCGTAAAGAAGATTTGCAGGAATCCACCTCAAGCTGCCGAACTCTACTCTCCCCTTTTTCTTCTCCCAATCCTGCTCTTCAATTTGTATTGATGCATTTGGGAGCGCAACTCGGTTTGATGGGAAGCATCAAATAGAGCGGGCACCTCGTGAAGACCTGTGAATTTCTGTGATCAAATTACTCACTGCCCCAAATTGCAGCTTCACAGAAGCTTGAAGGTGCCATTAAAATGTGACCTGTATACCCTTGTGATGCTGAAAAGTAGCACTAGTCACTTTGGTGAGACCAGCTTTAGCATTACACACCCAAAACAACGGAAAGTGCAAAAAACCTCCAGCAAGTGGAACAGCGCCCATTCGGGCTCTACTTCTCCGGCGATAAGTGAACACAGATTTCGCTGCCGAGCATTGCCATCACTGGTGCTGAACTCGGTGTTCTTATATGCCCTTTTTCTTTTGGTAGGGAAAACTTCGTGGAAATGTGTTGTCAAAAGCACTATTGCGGCTTTACGGCAGTCTGCTCTTAACCCTAGAATTCTAGGCTTCTCCTGCTAGCTCTCGATCGAAATTCGTCATTTGTTCGCCTCCAGGATATGACTGATTTGTTCGCGGCTGTATCCAGTAGTGCTGCGGGCGAAGACTTCATGTTCAATTTCCTCCTGAAAGATGGAAACGACGATACTTAACAGAGTGGCAGTATACATTTGAATTTGCAGAATTCCTTGAGGTACATGGCGGGAGAGGTTTTGAGTTCTTCGCTAGCAAAGGAAGTTTTGATCTTCTCCTATCGAAGGTCAGTTGGTAGAAAATTCTGTCTATAATCGGCCCACGCATCGTTACTTCAAACAGCTAGCAAGAGGCAAAGAATGAAGTTTACATAGTAAGACCGGAATCGGCAACGCGAGTGAGGCCCTTTTTACCAGGAGAACGTGAAGAGGATCGTAATTTGCGCGCACCGCCATCCGCCGGCGAAGTGGTCGGCGGCCGTTTTTTCTAACTCGTTTTAACCTGTCGAATGGACCCAGCAGCCAGAGAAAAGGATCGCTAGATAGGTCGACAGGTCGACAAGACATGTATCAAAGTGCAAAAAGTCCCCCCTCCCCGTCGCCGAACTGCGCCATAAACTGGCATTGATGGAGCCGAGACATAACGAGCCGTGGTTTCTATCTAGGTTCGCTGATGGAACATTGATTCAGCCTAGGTCTCTCGGATATGCAGTTGACCTGAACAGCCTAATTGTTTCAAATTCAAAAATTACTGCTATCTGAACAAGCACGCAGTCAAGCGATATGACGTGATTGGAATTACAGACAAGCCCACTCAGTACTAAACATAAACACTCCAAAGTAGAGGCGCAGCTATCCGCCTTTGTTAAAACCAGCCGGAGCGTTATGAGATTTCTCATGACTCGAAGCTTCAAGCTGGAGGATTTTCGGAGCAGCAAATGGTTTAGTGGGAGGAAGCCTCACTGCAGCCCACGCACTCAAGTTTCACTGGACTCTGCTTCTTCTACCTCATCGAGCTCGTTTATTTGCGACCACTCTTGTCCAAGAGCCTGCTTTCCTAAGTTGCCACCTTTTCGCGCTGTCGAAAAAGCATCAAAACTCTCATTGGGCTTTCAAACTACCATCTTTCAAAATTGAGATCAAGTCACCCTTTTTACGGAGGACGTAGTCATAAAATAGTTGGGGTGATGCAAAGTTTTACAATATTGAAATACAACGCAAAGAATACTACAAAGTTTCAGCTTGCCGACGGAACACAAATACGTCAACAGAGTGATCTCGTACTGTGCAGCAGGCATTCGATCCGAGCAGCAAATAGAACAGGTCAGTTTTAATTTTCTTCCTTACTTCATTTGAAATGACGACGCCTAAATAGAAGAAGAAAAAGGAACAGGAGAGAAGAGAAAAAAATTTTTTCGCATCCAACAACGTCATTCTTCAGCTCTCGAGTGATAAATGGGCCGAAAATTGCAGGGTATCTGTAAAACAGTGGAATTTGATTAACGAGTAGAAGAATTCAGCTAGGAGTATCAGAATTCGAAGCAAGATCGACTAAAATCCACGCCTAGTGTAATGACTAGTAGCCACAAATTTGTTGAAGCTTCTGGTTTTTCTGAGCCGTTCAGGAATGTAAAATAAAACGTCATTCTAAAGCGCAAAGTCGAATAATTATTTTTTCAGTTGAGGAATCTACAGAAAACTGGAAGACATGCTCGAGATTACGGTGCATTTGACCAAGCAATCGAGCAAGCAGAACATAAAGTTGCCTGGATCAAGAAGCATTTCCGAAAACTGTCGGATTTCTTCAAGAGGGCTGACAAGTAAATTTTGTCCTTCCCCTTTAAAGGTTCCAAAGAAATGGTCGCTTTCGAATTCTCCTTAAAGTTCTCCTATTCCGGAAAAAAATCTGTTGTCGCTGTGAAGTGAGGGGAGGGGGGGGGGTCGCTCAGATAGTTTTTGATAGCTCTTCATTCGTAGCTTGACTGGTTTCCACAAATCCATATTTGTACCCGCTACTGCCTACTTGTCCAGAATGTGTCTTCAATATAGGAAACGTGAGGGCGCGTTTCCTAGACTATTCAAAAAATTGTTTGAACACGGCCCTATATTGCAAAAAGGGCTCTATAGAGTATATTATATTCATATCGATTTTCTTCAGGGGTCATCACGACGACGATGATAAGTCTCCGTCTGCGGAAGAACTACGTCTCCCGAAAAGCATAAGGCCATGTAAGTGTTAAAGTCACTGTCTCAAGTGTCAGTTTGGATGCGCCTATTGACGCGAGCCTTACCTCGTCTGCTGGAAAACATTCACTTACGAGCTAGTCGGCACTGGTGTCACAAAAGAATAGCTGCAGGTCACGCTTGCATCTGATAAGTAGAATTATCAGTCTGAACAGGTAACTTGCGGATTCTACAGAATCAGACCTTACGGCTAAATCGTTACTTTCTCAGTGTAATCCATCACTTATCCCAACTCTTTATTGCAAAAACAGACAAGTCCGATAAAATGCAGTCTTTAGTTTGTTCTAACGTTGGTCTCGGAACCAACGTAGTTGCCTGCGCTCTCTTCCGCGAGGCTTTATTATTATGCAGAGTAACCGTCATCTTATGTAGTTTTGTTCGCAAGAGATACTGGGGCGTGTCAGGGGAAGAGGGGGAGGGGGACTGGGTGTGGCTCAGCCAACGAGTTGTTGAAGGGGGCAAGCGACAACATAATGGTGGAGATTGGGCTGACGATGAGCTCAAACCGCCACTGTCTCCATTCCCTGACATGCATCCGCAGCGAACAAGACTGTACTGGTGCTCTGATGTTAGACGGTTTCCATGTGCACCTGAGCACAGTTTTTGTGCTTTCCGAGCTCTGAAGTTTTGCACGAACCCGTACAAATGCTCATTGGGAGCCTTAGCTAGTTCACTCTCTTTTCGCTAAACAGTATGAGAAGTGCTCTAGCTGTTTTTGTCTGAAATTAGGAATCTCCACATTAATGGAATATGTAAGCACTCAGCCTGATAGAATCGTGCACGTACTGATTGCAATTTACTTTAGTGTCATACGACTTGACCATCAAAACGTATCTGCCGAATTACGTGCAATTTCCACCAGAAAAGAATCTCACTTTCGATGGCCAAGTGAAAATTTCTTTGATGGTTTTGGAGCCCACAAAATCCATCGTTCTCAACGCAAACAATATCACTGTGATACCTGAGGAATGCGAGCTGTTTTTGGTGGGTTTTGCTAGTCTCCTTCAAGAATAAGAAAAAGTTGGGAGAATCTAAGAAAGATTTAGGTAGGATGGTGGAGGGTTCGTATCAGAGGAGAGAACAAAGGGGAGGCTCATGTCTTCGAAAGATTTTCCCCCAGCGGCAGGATAGCTGAGATGGGACCACAGCGCATATCGCTGCGTTTCCGCAGCGGTCGGGTCGCCTGACGACTTCGGAAAATCATTAAGGAACTTTTGGCAGATGCATCATGCATCTGAATATTAGGCTGAGGCGCACCAAGGGTTGAGTTACTCGTGTGAGGATCCCAGCGTCACATGCCATGACCCTAGGTTGTCACTTTATGGGCAGGTCAACGATTCCAGTCTCCCGTTGAATTCGTGCGCTATTTTGCCTACCTGGGATTACTGGAATGGTACTACACTTGTATATGTGGAGTTATTTAGAAGATTGAATCTAAGAAGCCATGTATCCTCAGAAACCCTTGGAAGCTTAGGGTTCCCCTGAAAATTTCATTTCCGACACAACGACGGTATGTGACTATGTGCTATGGTGTTATTACAGCAGATAAGCATGAAAATTCCAGGGCAGTCAAAAAATTGTCATCGAAAATGTCACGTATCATAGGAGACTTCAGAAGGTGGAATTCCTCATAAAGGAGCGACTTGAGAAGAATCAGAATGTTCTGCTCAATGTTAGTTATTTTTGAGCTCCCGACTACTATTCGTTTCTTGTTTAGTTTGTAATACCTGTTAATAAGGTTTAGGTGGTCTACACCGGCGTGATCAGCAAAATCCTCGGCGGACTTTACCAGGCCACCTATACTCACAGGATGGGAGCACCAAGTAAGATTAGCAGTATTCTTAATGAAGAGTTACTGTTAAGACTTCCAAGAACGCACTTTGACGGAGAGTCGATCGATATGACCTGAACAAAAAGATTTCTGCAGTGTGAGGCCAAAACCCTCTGCTCTCAGAGAAAGGTGTGAGGTATATCTCATGGGAGGTGAGCGTGTTAGCAGCTGGAGATGAGTGCCGCTTTTTCCACTCAAAAGTCGACGGTAGCTCGGCTGGACTGTAACGAATGGCACCTGATTCTGCCTGCGCTATCCCAAGTGGTGGTACACGAGCCAGGTAAATCGGATGGCAGCATTAAAGCATCGCTACCCTCATCCCTGTTCCTAGGCACTTCTGAACGGAGAAAGTGACCAGCTATTGCAGCTGCAAACCCATTTACCTCGCACATGGCGGAGACCAGCATCCACGGTGGTTAGTGTAGAGCTCGTCTTTAGGGAGAAGAATGATAGGCCAGACAAGAGGGGTAGGAGAGCTCAGAAAAGGGGAACCAGCGCGAGGTGGAGTTACATAAGCTCAGTAGAAGCCGACTGAGCAGTGCGCATTGCACCTTAGCGCCCCTCCCTGAGAGCTCTAACGTAAAAGGATTTCCATCAGAGTTGCTGAATGAACTGTATATAGTTTTTAGGATCGCTGCAACCTCTCAGATGGAGCCAACAGACGCTCGAAGAATGGTGCCTTGTCTAGACGAACCGAGCTTCAAGGCAAATTGGACCGTCACTGTGATCCATCCTAAAGGCACAAGAGCCGCCTCAAATGGCTCAAATGGCATTGAAATAGGCGAAGGGTTCGTGAATCGCTCACTTAAGTTTTTTTTTCTTTACGTCTCCTAGATGAGTGATCGCGCCATCTTTCTTATAGAGTGGATTTGGAGAGATCCAGAGGCCCAGTTCCATAGTCATCTTAAAATTTCCAGGGATCGGAGGTTCCCGTGAAATCTTGACAAGTCATTTTGCAAGTTTCACAGGAGCTTATAGGGTGCTTGGAGGGTGACAGCAAGGCTTATGGTTGCTGACAAGATTGTCCTGCATCGCATCTGTACTGTTCAGAAGATTTGGTTTGCTGACAAGACCTTACCTGGGTATTGCTCCTCACCTCCCCCCTCCAAAGTCATTATCGCCTAGACCCACAAATCCAAAAATGCATTTCGTTTATCGAAACATATCTTCTAGTTCCTCTTTCTAATTTTAAAGCTACTCACATCTATCCCAGATAATGTAGACCAGTCTGGCTGACGCGCATTTCTGCGCGCATGGTTAAACCTTTGTTACTGCTAACTGACAGGATTCCTGTGCTGAGCACTAACACAGCCTAATTCCTATGTTTCCAAAACGGCCCATTTCATCATGTTTCTCCCTTTTAATGAACACTTGCCAATGTTAGGTTCTTATCATATTTCTAAAAGCACCATTCGTTGGAAATAGGACAGCATAGCGGTTGGAAGGATTCCGATGGTAAAAATATTGAAATCACAGGGCTCTTATCATTCCTCACTGGGCAACAACTCCAAACATCCTTTTTCGGGGAACTCGAGCGATTCTTTGGTTACGGTGATGTGAGCAGATACGGACTCCCAAAAGCCCTTGTAGGACAATGACAGGATTTATCTTCCACCTTTAATGTTCCCTAAGCACCTCTGAATTACTTGCTGGAGCAGTTCCCAGTGTTGCTACAACTCTGCTTTGAATTTTCCTGGCTATCTCATCAGCTGTTATCAATTCCTGCCGCCTGCCATATGCCCCCTGTCTTACTTCTTAGAACCAATGTCTCGTTGTCGCTGTGGCCGGTGCTATGAATTTGATGACCCTCGCTTTCTAAGACCCCTTATGGTATCTTATCAGCTCTTATCACTTCCTGCCACCCACCAATAATGTTTCCATCCTGCCCCCTATCTTATTTCTTGGAAACCAACGCTCTAGCCTTGCTGTGACGCGCGTTATGAAGTTGATGCTCCTCCCATTCTGAGGTCCCTTATGGTATCTTATCAACTGTTATCACTTCCTGCCACCCACCAATAATGTTCCTGCCCGACCCCCTACATCACTTATCAATTTATCGCGTGTTTGAAGAAAGTTCATTGATTATCCCGGTCAAACACACATATGTACAGACAGCACAGACAGAACAAACAAGCATTCACACACACACACACTCAACAGACAAACTTAGCGGATTATATATAGTAGGATACTCGTGCATTTGTTTTATAGAGAGATCAGCGGTGACTGGGTTACATCAAAATTCGAGACCACTCCACCAATGTCTTCCTATCTGTTGGCCGTAATCGTCTCTGAATTTGGGTTCATTCAGGGGTTCCGACGCGAAATCGGTGTGTTACGGTAAGGCCATTTCATTTAGTTCCCATCGCATAGACTTATGAACTTATTTAAGGTCCGATATGGTCCACGTCCGAGGCGAAGATATGACACACCTACGCTCTGGACTGCTGGAATCAGTGAAGCTTGGAATTTCTTACGAGAAACTTTCTTTGATATCAAATTTCCTCTTGAACAAAAGCAAGGTTCGTGCTCCGCTAGTTCGAAGAGAAGTCCACGTAATGCAAAATTAGTAGCATTCCTCTCCATGAGCGCAATTCTCATCTTTCGAAAGGTTTTCTCTTCCAGATATGGTTGCCGTTCCTGATTTTTTGCTGGTGCTATGGAAAACTGGGGTCTCATCACTTATAGGTAATTTTTCTTTGTTCACAAATGTTTGAGAGGAGAAGAGCTTAACGTAAAGCAAGAAAAGGTTTTAACCATTTTTTTTCAAGTGGGTAGAGCATTTATTTATACATTTGGATATGGATACAAATATTGAGAAATTTTTCTCAAATGGTGAAGTGGTGGAGAGCGTTCGAGCCTTCTTTGATGAGTATCCTTGCCAGAGCTGCTTCTCACCAAGTTGGAAGTAGGAGTGAGACTGCACGGAACAAAGTTGTATTTCACAATTAACATCACCCTGAGGAGAAAACCCTAGTCAGATCTGCACTCTGTGGCTGGGATGAGACTTGCTTGAGATCCAATCCGATTCCGAGAAGTACCGGTAACGAAGGGTGAAAGTGCTCAGAACGGAGACATTGTTCCAGTTTTGATCGGCGATTTGTAATGATGACAAGGTCACCTTCCTCAACGGCCCACATAAGTCCAACATCTTAGAGTTATCCCTCTAGGTGGGTGGACGATTTTTTACCCAGCCTTTCCGGCAAGAGTGTTAGATGAGCAGTCCGTCGGTCCTACTTCCCTCTCTCTCTCTGAGGAGACTCGTGCCTTTTCGTAAAGTACCTCGAACATTGCGCGTCGGGGTAACGCGAATATTACAGCTGAGAGAGAATGATCTGTGGTATTTATGTACGCCGAGAGTCCAGGCTGAACTGGATTTCTTAGCAGCTCCCGAACAGCTGCTTCCAAGATAAGCCTATCTGGATAAAATCCTGATCTAGTTATCAAAGTGATTCAGTACAGCACCACAAGCTCTATGATGGGCAGCTAGTTTTTCGGTTATCACTTACATCAGAAGGAGTTAAGGAAAGCAATCTCGTTTCATGCTTTGCCGAGGCTTCGAAGATAAGTTAAGGGCTAAGCGAAACTGCTTCGCCACTAATTCAGAGTGAGGTTAAATCCCGTAATACTGGTTCGCCACAGCTCTTAACCACAAGGTATTCCCTCATGCACAAGTAGATTGCCTTGGTGCTAACGAAGGAGTTCTTCGCTTCTGCAGTTAATATTGACCCTTATTGGTGAGAACGCAGCAAAAGGCGGGCTGATCCTACGCTCCATGAAACCGCCCCGTGGGATCGTGCTGATATCAAATTCATGAGTAATTTTTTCCTTTCACAATTCTCCTTCTTTTTCAGAGAAACTGCCTTGCTTTACGATGAACGATTGTATGCGCCGCTGAACAAACTTCGAGTGGCTCATGTGGTTGCTCATGAACTTGCTCATCAGGTTTGATTTCTGGTTTCAAAACTGGAGTCGAATTCCGCTAGATGTTGTGAAATTACTATAAAAAAGGGGCTCTCACTAGGTTGACCTTATTGCAGCACGTTTACACCGATGTACAAAATCTGAAACGCTAAACTCCACTCTCCTCCCGAACCCCTTCGAAATATTGCGATCGTTATGAAGGCTTCTCCCGCGTTGCCTCGCATGCGGACGGAAGGTCACAAGGATGAGATCCCCATTGTTGAACAACTGTTCTTGGGATGCGGCACTCATCCCATTTTCCATTGTAAAGCTCAGTGGCTTATTGAATGCGATGTGGCCTATACAATGACTTGCGGGGCCAGCCGATGTACAAGTCAGTGTTTTATCCTCCCAGATAAATCTGGTACCAATTTCAACGTCTCCAGGTGATAGGGGCCTGGTTGACCTAGGCGGGAGCCGATCCGGGAGCGCGCTACTTGCCACTACATCACCCCGCCTCACCCTTGAGGCAAAGTAAATTGGCAACCGAACGAGGCAGTGTGTTGGTTGCATAGGCAGCACGACGTTCTATTTCTCTAACGACTCCGCCTTTGTAGTTTCAGGTACATCGCCGAAAAGGATTTCAGCATCGGCACCTGCGTTTGCTCAAATTCCTAGAGAGCTTGCGAGCGATTTCGCGAAATTTCTACTTCTATGACTCAGAAGAATGAT